AACGTCCGTCCCGGAACCCCGGCGTACCTCCGACACGTGACAGTCTAATTACCGTACGATTATTTCTGTAATATAGACGCCGATGCATCGTGGCTCAGGTGCAATGTACACCGGCGCATCGAATTCCGTGACGTTTTTTTTTAACATGGCTGCGGGACTCGCTATTATTCGGTGTTTGATTTCGTTCGGTGAGCTTATTAGGTTGGGTCCAAATAAACAAGTTTCGTTGTATTGGATACTTATATTTTAGTATTATTTTTTATTGTCTCTTTCATATTGTGAGTTTTATTATTAGCTTTACGGAGCAGTGAAACTGCAGTGTTGAGTTGTTCTCGGGAAGTGGTTATTTTGTAATGACAGTTATATGTGTTCGTAATGAGGTAAAGTGGATTCTTGGAATTTAAGAGATTTCATGTTTAGTAATTTATATATTAATTTATAAAGGAAACAGATCATTCTATTTACAAAATTAACAATTATCTTCAGTGCGCCTTCTCTATAGTGTCCGTAAAATTCGAAACAATTCTAAGATAGTTTCGTTTAACTATCGGGACAATAAAGTCAAAGCAAAATCGACAAGAGAAAACCGAAAATAACGAGCAAGGAATGTTGGCAATGAACCATTGTGAACTAAATGAGATCGAAACATCGTAAGTACATACACGGTTATGATTGCATAAAAATGGCGCTTTCTATCCTCAGCTTTCGGTGACAGTCGAATGACAATGATCGGTCTAATTTAATTTAGAAGAGGAAAGGGAGAAACAACAATCGTTGAAGAAGCTTAGGCGAGGACACGCGCGAACGGTGTCGAAGCCGAGCGATCGATCGAGGCCTGGTCGCGATCGAGGTATCGCGTGACGATCCTTCGGCCGATACCGCGGCGAAGTCCGTCGATGACACGGGGGAATGATAAACGCGGCGAAATCTAGAGCGGCTCTTTCAATCGCGTTTCGCTCGGCACGGCGACGCTCCTTGTATCTGGGTCAGCCGTTGGCGACCTAACTTGCACCCGTGTGTACGTTCCCACTTACGCGACGGATAACACGGGAAACGCGCGTGCATGCCCATGCCTCGGCCAGAGCTGTTCTAACGCCGGTCAGGTGTGCGAACGATTGTAAATCGACGGTCGGACAGCGTTTCACCTCGCTATCTTGGCGATTCCTCTTCTTGTCCTCGAGGTTTCGAAGCTGCCGCAAAAGTTTCGTGAGAACCGCTAAGAACGATAATTAACCCATTGCACTATGATTGTTTTCATGAATTCAATGCAACTCTGGTCACTTAAGACTAGGTTTACAGAAATCTATTGTACAGTTTATTCTATTGTTACTATTTAGATCTTTGTTCTATTATTATATTTATATCTTGTGTATTTGAGGTTTGAATATAATTAATTAAGGTGCACATTTGTGTAATTACGTCAGTCCAAATTGACGCAAGAATTGGCTAATACAATGAATTTTAGGACAATGAAATGGAAAAATGCAGTGACTCATTGTTCACAGAAGAATATTATGTTTGTTGATAGCTACACGCGAAGCTAAGGAAATTATATCATAGAAAAGTGTGGAAAGAAGAATTAATGAAGATTAATAAATGTGCGTCGCGTAATCAGCTGTTGAATACAATCGGTGCTTGGAAAGTATGTGAACGAAGTGTGAATCACTGTATTTTGAATAGTTAGATTATCATTCCTTATGCGTTTATAATCAATGGTATTAGATAAGAGGTTTAGTGAAATATAAATGATCCTCGATCAATGGAAATGTTTATTCATCCCGTATGTTGTGAGTTATTTCGTGACCAGACTCACAAGGGTTCTCTTAGTATTAATAACTTCTACAATATTCATAGCAAATATTTCTCTTCACGTAGAAAATATTTATTTTTAATTAATTCGATTCGAAAAATACTCATAATTATCCTGTATGGAGTTAAAATGGGAAGTTTCTTTAGGATATTCGTTTTTATCGGTTAATCCTTGAACTTCCATAAAAAATCACGATTGACTGAGGATATTTTCTAACCGGTTTCACTATTTTGGCTTAAAAAGAAAGAATACGTGAATGATTGTTTGATAAGGGTCAGGTGAACGAAGCCATCGTTTGAAGTTGTACCTGCGTTTCATTTTGACCAAGTTTGAATCAACCAAAACCTAGAATAGCTAGCGACAGAAGGAAAGTAAAGTAATAACATTTTGTCTTTCAATATCTAGGCATTCACTCACGTAAAACGATTGCCTACTTCGCTCAAAAAATTCGCGGAGCAAATGCAGCAAGGAGTCATTCCGACCATCATTTTATAGGTTACGATTTCCAATAGAAATCTGCCAAATACAAAATCGGTATCGCCACAAATACGTGACGCTAGTGGTAAACATCTTAACTTTGATGTGACCATCATTTTATCTCTCTATTCGAAACATTACTTAAAAAATAGAAACACGTGCTGTGCGCTAATAGAAAGTTGGCACCCAAGACAGCATAGGGATAAGAGAAGCCTTCCATTGTATGTTTCGTTCACTGCATCGATGAATTACCGTGTCACTATTGACGAATAAGTACCTACATTAACGCCAAGCGCCACGTACATACCCACATGTTAATGGAGACTTGGTACTTGGCACTAATGTAGGTAGTTATTCGTCAATAGAGACATAATGTAACACAACCATCATCTTGTACTCTCCTCAAATTCAAACTATCTCCAAAGAAACAAGAACAACCTAGCGGTTCTAAAGAAACAAAAACAAGGTTGGCTATCAAAGACCCCAAAATATAGACCCAGTATCTCTATCAACGCATCACACACAACAATCCTCTTATACCTTCCTCGAATCCAAACTATCTTCAAAGAAACAAGAACAACCTAACGGTGCCAAAGAAACGAAAACGAAATTAGCTGAGAAAAACCCAGAGAACGCACCCGGAAAAACAGAAACCGCCACAGAAGGTGTCCGTGAACCCTGTTTCATACTCCTCCAGTTGTCCGTGTTCTAGTGATCGGACAGACGGAGCAGAGACTGTGCACAGTATCCGGCACGAACGTGCGCATAAGTGCACGCTGGAATGCTCGGCGTAGCGGCGATGCATACTTAGCGGTGCACACCGTGTGCGAGAGATGGACAGAAGCAGGATCTCCGTGATGCGTGTGCGATGCCTGTGCGTGTATCCTTGCGTGTTTCGCGCGCGCGCTCTCTCTCCCGCGTGCTCGCGGGCATGTGCAAGAGGAGCGCAAGGTCGCATCGGGGTTGGGAATTCGGACTGCCAAGGGTTCCCACCCCTTCGTATTGCACCAGAATTCTGACACCACCTGAACACCGGAGTACCAGCCAGCCAGCGTGCGACAGAGAGGGAAAATGGGAGTCTCCCGAAGAAAGAACGAGACGGAGTTAGCCCCGTCTCGTTCCGTCCCGCGGTATCCTACGGGAATACCTACCGGGTGGCTCGAAGGAATGTTTTGGTTTCGTTGTATCACTTGAAGATGATTTAATGTGTAGCGGAAAGACATAGAGCGAGAGTAGTTTTTTGCTGAGTGTTTTGGTTATAGTTTTGATTGGTTATGTGTGACGGTATTGGCGAATGGTAAATTAGATTAATAATGAGATGAGAATAGGGAAAAACCGACTGATTAGTGTTGTATTCTTCAGTGTAGGCATTAGATGATCTTCTAAGTTTATTTGATGAACGATTGTTTCTATTTTCTCATTAGTCTCGTTTTTCTATGTTTTCGTCCAGCTTTCATGGATAATTAAATATATAGATCATGGTTTAGTAGGTTTTAGGAAATAATTGTTACCGATTTGTGGATTTTGTTTGCTCGGAAGAATAATCTTGCTATTTAGAATTAGTATCGAAGCATTTTATAATCTTGTTAAGGGTTGAAACTTCCATTATTATTGAAACAATGATTTACTAGACTTTCTTTTCACACCATCATGATCCAGTTTGTTTTCTTTTCATATTAAAACGAAGTTCGAATTCTATCTAATATACTCTTTATCAGCATTTCTACTTTCCTAAGAAAAAGCATCCCCTTTCGGTAATAACTTATCGAACATCCTCAAGAAAGTTTTGTTAAAACTCATAAATTATCATTGTACTTAGTAGATTCTGATCAAATAATTTTGCAATTTGTTTTTGTTTCAGGTGCGAAGGGTGAAGTCACGATTTTACGAGGACCACCCGGTATATTTCCAGGCCGATCTGTTCGCGTAATATTATAGTCCGGTGAGCAGTAATCTGGGTTACGCCCTCCCCTCGATTCATAAGAACCACATGTTAAAGTTGGAGAGAGCGTGATTTCTCTCCTTCTCTCTTTCTCCTTTTCGTGTCTTCCCCTTTCTTTTTT